TTTGAGTAGTTTTTTGTCATATGAACATGAATTTGGAGTTTGTGCATTTTCTCAAATTATATTGACTCTTTTTTTCTCATGTCGATTTAATACTTAAAATCTTCCCTAGTTTTATATTCCAAAATTTCTTAAATGAGACTAACCATGTCCTTTGATGTGTTGGGGCGATGTCCATTGTATGGTAAAAGTTTACAATAACAGTAATTAACTAAGTATTATTTCCAGAAAATGTTGGAAACTTAATAATCTAAAACGTATAGGGACACGCCACATGGAACATGTGGTGCTGTGCGTGATAGTGTGTTGGGGTCGTCTCTCTCGTTTGGAATTTAGAAGACTAAATCGAATCTCTGTTTGATTATGATATGATTAACTATACCCCATATAACCTTTAGTTTTATTGAGGATCCGCAAATGTTAGATCTTACGACATGAATCTTTATATACATTTTGTTGTCATTGTTTGTAGACGGTCTAGTATCATGTACTGTGTACTGATGGTGCTAGATAACTGTGATGAAGAAGGAAACAGGGCGTTTCTGTGATACAAATGTATTTTTCCTTCCAAGATTTAAGTTTTACTCCGAGATTCTACTTGTGTACCAGGTTCATACAGGTGACAGCGGATGTGGAGGAGGGATCTGTTATCATCGGTGAGCGTAACAAAGCTGCTATAAAAGCGCTTTACAGAGCAATAGACGACGGGCACAATAAGATCGCTATATTATATGGGGGTGGGCATATGCCAGATTTGGGAAGGCGTTTGCGAGAAGAGTTTGACCTTGTTCCCTCCCGGGTGCAGTGGATTACTGCTTGGTCAATCACAAATAAGCATATGTCAAGTAAATCGTTTCCTTTTCTGAAAACACTGGCTGAAGTGTTGGGATGGCCATTAAACCGATACCAGACTCTTGCATTGCTCATCTTTTCTTCGGTACTTGCATTGGATCTCTGGTTTTGGGAACTCTTTTTTGGTACTACAGCAAACTGGGTTTCTCAAGTAGCATCAGACATATACCAATATATTGATAGTGCTCAAAATGACGTGATACATTTTGTTTAACAAGATTCAGCCTAGTTGAAAAGTGTCCATAAATATTGTAATTTTTTTCTTGGTTACAGTAAGATTTGGTCAATGTATTCTCCTTGCACTTGTTGCGAAGATGATCTGCCCCATGCGTGCTAGATATTGTTTTGCATTTAAGTAGAAGATATACTAGATTTCACCATGCTTCCTCCCAATTTATAAATAATATGAATTAAACTACTTAAACATGCAAAAAGTAAAACTCAAGAGACTAATCCAAATGGAAGACTTTAATTTTGAATGTATATATTGATTGAGTAA